TGACAGGCGGATTCTTATCCACTGCACCACCAGGGAAGTCCCTATGTTCATTCTTCTATAAAAGAGAGCTCTCCTTTTTACTGTCACATGCACTCAAGTTTTTATTTTTTTAATTCAGTATAGAATCATTTAGCCTAATTATTCTTTTGATGCTACAGGCAATCCATTTTGGCCGGGGAGAGCCTCTCAAAGTGGCTGCCTGTATTTTTTCGACATGATCCCATTAGTGTTTGAGTGCTTCCTTGTTTCTTGGTCTAATAAATATGTTCCAGGCTCACCTTGTACCTTCCTTTTCCAAACCTATAATTAGCCACTTCTCCCAGGAGCCAGTGCTCTTTACTGTGGGAAGTGGTTTTTAGAAACTAAGATCTGGGGGTAAATGTGCTCATTGCAACTGGGAAATAAATAGCTTTATTTCATAATGGGGGCATGGTTGGAGCAGGGGGTGTTGGGAATGAGAGTTTGAGAGGAAGTGCAGACATTTTTAAAAGTTCTAGTTCAAGCTAGAGTATTGTTTAATGATCTTTTCTTAAATGTTCTAGGACGAAATGCACTGCACGTGGATGTGGACGTATCTTCTGGCTTTATTTATTGGTGTGATTTTAGCAACTCTGTGCCATCTAATAATGCAATCCGTAGAATCAGACCAGATGGGTCTAGTTTTACAAACATCATTACAGATGGGATAGGAGAAAATGGAGTCCGGGGTATTGCAGTGGATTGGGTAGCAGGTGGGTAAAAGCTATATAGTGATTTTATTGAAAAGGCTTTTCATGTTTTCATTTCTTTTTTCTTATTTATCATCTTATTTATGCTATAAAGTTTAACATAAGTGCGACAGATCTGTCTTTCTGAATGTTTATTGAGATTACTTAAAATAGATTGAATTGTGTTTTTAGAATAAACGTAACAGACCTGTGTCTGTTAATGATAAGGTGTTTCAGTTGACAGATTCATTAGAGATTATCTCATTTGCTTCTATTATTAACAGGATCAAACTGTAGGCAAAATGGATAGAAATATTTAATTATGTAGGTTTATTTCACACTTAGATGAGCATCTAATTTCTAAATTAGAAATGTCTAAATTTTCAAAGAGAAAGGGATATCAAAATATCATGTAAACCATGAAATATGACATTTACTTTAAAGGTTAGCAATTTTACTTGCCGAATTCTTAATTGCTTCCTCATGTTAATGTATGAAAACCATTTTGATTATTAGGTACTTTATTGTAGTTAAATTGAAATGCCTGACCCAATATTACATTAACTTAGCTATACTGATTCATGTGCTTAATTTTGGATTACCACTGAATTTTAATGCTACACTGACAAACAAATGTATTATACTTCTAGAATATAATCCCGTTATATCAAAATAGGTATCACTGTGTGTTATCAAGCTTGGCAAGTTGATATCACTTAGAAATATTAAAATATATTATGAAAATCTAGATACTATAATAGTTAATTGCCAATAGTAAACATGGTAATATGGCTAGGTAAGTCTTTAATTTGGTTCTTAAATTCCATTCTTGATTACAAATTTACTACATTATTTCTGAGGATATAGATAAAACAAGGGTCAACAGCCTATAGCCTGTTGGCCAAATGCAGCCCACCACCTGTCTTGTAAGTAAAGTTTTGCTGGAACACAGCTATGCCCATTCATTTATGTATTGTCTATGATCGCTTTCATGTTACTGTGGCAGAGTAGAGTATACTGTATACTCTGCAAAGCCTAAAATATTTACTGTTTGGCCCCTTACAGAAAAAGCTTGCCAACCCTTAGTAGCAGTACAACAGACTTCTGACTACATGGAATCAATGTGGGCTCCCTCTCTATTCCTTAAACTATCTTCCTGCCATGCTTTTTATTCTAGCATTTACATTGTTCTTTAATGCCCAAAGGCAAATGGCCTTTTGTTTTGGTGACTTTAGAAGGTCCTTGGGATGAAAACCTCTACACTACTTAGAAAGGCAAGAAAAGATCTCGCGTTAATGCCAAACAGAAAGAGCATTTGATGACATAGGTAACAACCTGAGATATTGCTGGCTCTCACTCTTTGCTCCTTTCATCATGTTGGAGTAGAAGGTATGTCATGATAATGAGTCTTTGAAGATTCAGGTGGAAGAGAAAGGACATTCTGGAAAATACACCTTCCAGTAGAAAGTGGGTTATGATGTTTGCTATGAATTCGGATCTGCTTTAGAAGCTGAGGAGAGTTACATTCTCTTTAAATGTGAAGAAGCAATCTATTTAGTTCCTAAGAGTAAATATTTATTTTTCTAAGTCTAAACTGAGATATTAATCTATCATCCTGGAAAAGACAACGTATGCTGACCCAAACCTCAATCTTACAAACGGTGTCTTCTTCCTCCTTCTTGCTTTTCCATTCATCAGCATTTATGCTCTTTCATTTTTCTGCAGGAAATCTTTATTTCACCAATGCTTTTAGGTCTGAAACACTGATAGAAGTTCTAAGGATCAACACCACCCATCGCCGTGTTCTCCTTAAAACCACAGTGGATATGCCCAGGGATATTGTTGTAGACCCCAAGAACAGATACCTCTTCTGGTCTGACTATGGACAAAACCCAAAGATTGAACGTTCTTTTCTTGACTGTACCAATCGAACTGTGCTTGTATCAAACATCGTTGCCACACCACGGGGCTTGGCATTGGACCTTAGCAGTGGCTACGTTTATTGGGTTGATGATGCTTTAGATTTAATTGCAAGGGTCAGCATTGATGGAGGGGAATCTGAAGTAATTCGTTTTGGCAGTCGTTACCCAGCTCCTTATGCCATCTCTATATTAGGAAATTCCATCATATGGGTAGACAGGAATTTAAAAAAAATCTTCCAAGCTAGCAAGGAGCCATATAAAGCAGATCCACCAACAGTTATAAGGGACAATATCGACTGGCTAAGAGATGTGACCATCTTTGACCAGAATGCTCAGCCCCGGTCACCAGCAGAGGTCGACAACAACCCTTGCTTGGAAGGTAATGGAGGATGCACCCATTTCTGCTTTGCTCTGCCTAAATTGCACACCCCAAAATGTGGGTGTGCCTTTGGGACCCTGCAAGGTGATGGCAAGAGCTGTGCCATTTCATCAGAAAATTTCCTCATCTTTGCCTTGGATGATTCCTTGAGGAGCTTACACTTTGACCCTGAGGACTATAGTCAACCTTTCACAGCAATAAGTGTGGAAAGAATTGCCGTGGCCCTAGACTATGACAGCATAGATAACAGAATCTACTTCACACAAATTTTGCAATCTGGAAAAGGCCAGATTTCCTATGTCAACCTGAATTCAAGGAGCAGTGCGCCCACCGTTGTTGTTTCGGGTAAGTGCACTCTAAGTGTAGCTTATCTTGGAAGGAGACACAATGGGGTCAACACACATGGATAACCCAGGGGTTCTAAAATGCATATTGAGACTCTAACTTCTTTTTGTGTTTTTGTTGGTGTATGTCCAGGCATAGGGAATCCTGAGGGCATTGCCTTTGACTGGATCAATAGAAGAATTTATTACAGTGACTACACCAACCAGACAATTAAGTCCATTGCCACGGATGGGTCTAAGCACACTGTGATAGCCCGAGTTACAAAGCCAAGAGCAATTGTGTTAGATCCTTGCCAAGGGTATGCCATGGTCTGCTTATTTCTGGAGGGAGTGGGATCTGAAATTATTTTATGCTCATAGAGAGCCAGTGTTTTGTGGGCTTGTAGCACTGTAGCTACAGATTCTCAAGGGTGAAAGAGCCTGAGTGACTCTACCTGGGAAGGAACTTCCATTGATGCTAGGAAAATTGGCAGCATACTAGCAAATTAATGCTCTGACTCACTAAATCCACATTGGGCAAGTTGTATGGATGGGAATGGAGTAGGGTTTCATTTGGCCATATTGGTGTCAATTTACAGTTAAAGAATGCTGCCATCTTTCTTAAGTAAAAAGAGTGAGGTTCTTTGTGATGAATTATGACTCCTTTTGGATCACTAGGTACATGTATTGGACCGACTGGAGTACTAATGCCCAAATTGAGAGAGCTACACTGGGAGGAAACTTCCGGGAATCCATCGTGAACAGTGACCTGGTCTGGCCCAACGGGCTCACTCTGGACTATGAAGAAGGCTTTCTCTACTGGGCAGATGCTAATCTGTATGTGTCTTTGGTTGTTCCTGCGGGTGTTGATGAGAAGATTTCTTCCTCCCTCTTCAAAAAAAGAGGGATATGCATAATGTGATGAAATATTGGTGAATACACCTGTGAAAATTGATGTATATCATGAGATTGAATAATTGTGAACTGAAGGCATCTAAAGATGCATTACTAGACAAGTTAATTTCAACTATAATTACAAATGTAGTCATTCAATTTATAATTTACGGGCCCCATGTAACTACCATAAAATATGAATGACTTTTCAATGCACACTGATAGTAAGTTTTCTCTGGGCTTTAGCATTTAGTATCTTGTAAAAACATTTTCCTTCAGTCTTTGTCTTTTCGTTGTCTTCTCAAAAAAGTTCTTTCTTCTGTGCCAGCTTCTTCTCAGTTTCATAGTGTTTTGCTTATAAACTTCTGTCAGCTCTAATTTTATATGTAACTCTCCAAGTACTCCTGAAATTACTCACATTCCAGTCATCCGAATGATTGAAGAGAGGAGATGATTTTGTTTATTATGGCTGGTGCCTACATGGTGGGAATCTTAACTTTTCTTGCGCTTATTTTCTTATGATTTTGGTCTTGTGCCACTGAGCACCTAACAACTTCATCTTTATTTTCTTACTTGAAACAAAGCAGTGATGTTTTGTGTCTAAATTTGGATCATTCTAGGTAAATATCTCAAAGTAAATGACAAATGGAAAAAGTCATTAAGGGAGTGGGAAGGGAAAAGTAATTCACATTAAAAAAAAAAATCTATTAATTTGGCTGCATCGGGTCTCAGTTGCAGCGTGTGGGAATCTTTAGTTGCAGCATGTGGGATCTAGTTCCCTGACCGGGGATTGAACCCGCGTCCCCCGCATTAGGAGTGCGGAGTCTTAGCCACTGGACCACCAGGGAAGTCCCATGTAATCCACATTTTATTGAGTGACTGCTTTGTGCTAAACACCGAGTTGCATGCAATACATGTTTTATTTCATAATGCTCTCCCGTTTTCAAATGTTAGTCTGGTTCCCTTTGTAGGATTACTTGTGGGTTATATTAATATGTGGAAATCAATGATTTATATAGGCCATTGTTTGATAAGCAGATGAAGTTCTCCCATTACCAGAAGAAACATTTCTTGCTGCCATATGCTGCACTTGAAAAGAAAGTTGGGGGCTTATGTAAAGCCATGGTTGGGCTCAGGCATTGGGTACCAGTTGAGAAACTTGTTCTTTCTGGATTCCAGCTTTTTTTTTTTTTTTTTCCATCTTCGTTTTAGGCAGAAGATTGAGCGCATCACTCTACAGGGCCTGGAGCGGGAGGTCATTGTCAGCAGAGCCAATAATCCTTTTGGTTTGGCTGTCTATGGCCAGTATGTTTACTGGACTGACTGGTTCAATAAAAAAATTTACCGAGCAAACAAATATGATGGGTCAAGTCAGACTGCAATGACCACGACTCTTCCCTTCCTGCCTAAGGGTATTCGTGCTGTTGTGAAGGACCAACAGCAGTGTCACAATCCTTGTGATCAGTTTAATGGGGGCTGCAGCCATATTTGTGCACCAGGTAAGGCACTGGCCATGAAGATAGACTCATGGAGAGTAATAATAATGAGGACCACTAGTAAGGAAGGCTGAGGGAATATTCAGCTCTAATAGGAGAAAAAATTCTCTTTTCAGAGTAACTTATAAAATAGATATCAGGGTTTGTATGTTGAGAAGAAGACTTTGAAAGGTTTCTTTTGTATTCCATATGGAGCCTTCTTACAAAGACATTTTAAATTCAAGCTTGATGGAGGTAGAAAGAAACATGCAGGTTAGGCTGCTGCATCTCATGTCTTGAATAGAAATTTCATCAATGAGTTAACATTCCTTATAAAAGGATTTAATTCTTTCACTTAGGAGGTACAGTTTTTAGTGGATATTTTAGAGTGTGGTGTGTGCTTCAGAGTGTTTTATAGAGAACAACAAATTCATAGGAAGATGTGCCTTTTGAGACTGTTGCTTTGCCGATTTTGCTGAGAAGGTAGAATCATTGCTAACGTTTCAGTGAAGACAAGAGATAATGGTTTAAAGATTAAGGGGAAGTAGCCACATTTATTAGAAATTGGTGGTGGTTCTTATTGATGGAAAAATGACGCAGAGTAGAGTTTCCATGGCTTGTCTTATAGCGTGTTTAATATAGAAGCTGTTGCCAGTGCTCTTCTGGAGGAGAAAATATGAATGTTTGCTACACAAATCTTTAGCTTTTCCTGGGCTTACCTTTCTTCAGGTCCAAATGGCCCCGAGTGCCAGTGTCCACACGAGGGCCACTGGTACCTGGCCAACAACAATAAGTACTGCATCCGGGATAATGGTACAAGGTGCCATAGTTCCAAGTTCACCTGCCTCAGTGGGAACTGCATCCCAGAGCAGTGGAAATGTAATGACGTCGATGACTGTGGTGACAGCAGTGACGAGCTGGAAACTCTCTGTGGTGAGTTGGACTCTTGGAACTTTTGTTAAGAACTCACAATGTACCAAGTGTTTGGCCCTTTTAGAAGTGAAAAACATTTACTCTGAGAATCTAGACTGCACTTTGCTTAAATCACACATAAGCTGATATATGTGCTGTGAGGTAGTGTATGATGCTTTATTAGGAAGCACCTCTATAGTGGTTAAGAGCAAAGGTGCTGGATGCCATTTACAGTCTGTAGAGCCCTGGGAAAGTTACTTAACCTCTCTGAGCCTCAATCACATTAAAGCATTGTGTTTGAAAACTTAACGTGATTAAGTTTAATGTGATGGAGATAAACTTATACATTGAGATGGTGGAGACATGGAGTGACTTTGCCATTTGCTTAAAACACTTCATTTGCTAAAAGAAGCCTACAAAATATTTGCTTAATCTAACTAATTTAAAGTGTTATCTCACTTTGCATGCAGTGCGTTTTGCCTTGGAAGGTAAACCCAAAGTGTCTTATTTTATTTGCTTGTATCTTTTTAGAAAATGGGATGATGCTTTAATCCAGAAGCTTCTTCAATATTTTTTTCCCCTCCTCTTAGCGTATCACACCTGCCCTTTGACAAGCTTCACCTGTGCCAACGGGCGATGTGTCCAATATCGTTATCGTTGTGATCACTACAATGACTGTGGTGACAACAGTGATGAGGCAGGGTGCCTGTTCAGGGCTTGTAACGAAACCACGGAATTTACTTGCAATAATGGAAAGTGCATCCCGCTTCACTTAGTCTGCGATGGGATGGACCACTGCCATGATCACAATGCTTCAGATGAGAAAAATTGCTGTAAGTTCATCTTCAGTACTTGTGCTTTGGAGTCTTGAAACCTTAGAGCTTGGGAGATGAAATTTTTATATAAAGACAATGCATTTTCTGAGAAAAAACCCCATAGTATTCATCTAAAACACATTTCATTTTAATACAGTCTACTAAGCGATTTTTAAAAACTATTCTACCTAGTATTTGAATTATTCACCTAAATTTATGGATCTGTACAACCATTGACTATTTAAAGTTCAGTATTTTCTCCTTGGTTTATACATCTGACTGTTTTAAAGCTTTACCAGCGGCTACTGACAAAAATGATTGATTAACGTGTTGTGTTTAATGTTTGTTGTGCAAAAAGGTATGTAGTACAGTGTTCACTGAAATGATTTGTCTCTTTAGTTTTTCTGGTAAATTGCTTATTAGTGAATTCATTTTCCAAAATTTCTGGGATTTGCACTTAAGAATCTTGAGAAAACAAAAGGACGGAGCATGAGCACAAATGTATTTTTAGTTTGGGTATATCTACATGTTCCATTGCTTTTGTAGGCACTTAAACACAATATTTATTCGGGTGTGCTTTTTTTTTTTTTTTTTTTAATCAACAAGTGGCCAATCTGTTTCATCTATCTCCCCAAACTTTTTTTTTTTTTTTTTTTTTGCGGTACTTGGGCCCCTCACGGCCGTGGCCTCTCCCGTTGCGGAGCACAGGCTCCGGACGCGCAGGCTCAGCGGCCGTGGCTCACGGGCACAGCCGCTCCGCGGCATGTGGGATCTTCCCGGACCGGGGCACGAACACGTGTCCCCTGCATCGGCAGGCGGACTCTCAACCGCTGCGCCACCAGAGAAGCCCCCAAACACTTTTTTGAGTATTTTGATGCAACTCCCAGACATACATATCACTGATAAAGACCTTTTGAAAAACAACTACTATGCCAGTATTATGCCCAACAAAATCAACAATACTTATTTAATATCCTCTAGTACTCAGTCCATATTCAAATTTTATCACTTGTCCCCAAAATGTCAACAGTTGCTTTGTTCAAATTATGATTCAGGCAAGGTCTACACATTGATTTAGGCTGGAATTGAGGCCTAGAGATTTGATTACATTAGACTCAATTCTTTGGGCAAGAACACTTCATAGGTGGAGCTGTTTCTTGTCGTATCACATAATGAAGCACATAATGCTTGATTGTTCCACTTTAAGTGAGGATGAAATTAATTAGTGAATTTAGAAGTCAGCCTGAATCTTCCCTTAGGAAGTTCCCATCAACCTTTCACCCAGTGGTTTTAGCATCCATGGATGGTTGTTCCATAAATTCATTATTACTTTATGTATTACTTTACATTATTACTTTATTACTTTAGGGTTACAAAATAAGCATTTAAAAATTTTATCGTTCCTTGCACATTTATTAGCTGACGTTCCATAAAGAAGAAATTTCCCTTATTAACTGTTTTGTTATCCTGAAATAAAATTCTGCAAGGTAAATGTCTGATTCTTTCCCTTTGTCATTTTTGAGAGTAATGGGTTGGTGACCAATGAGCACTAAGTTTTTGCTTTGTTTTGTTTTTACTATTGTGTTAAACTCATGGATTTTTACATTTTTGAGTTTTAATGCAGTGAAGTAAGTTACTGGTTTCGGTGCTTAATTGTTCTATCTTTGGCCAGCAGAAACCCTGGTAAAGTTGGGTTCTCTGTTATTTTGACTTGACCCCATTCAGTCTTCCATATCTCAGACTTGTACTTTTCCTGTCTCAGACCTGGAATTGGCCTCATTCCTTTTGTGGTATTTAAAAATTACCACAGTGTTGCGTTGCCCATTCCTATTTGGCTTTTATTGCTTTTAGGCCTTTTTATTGGACAGAACTAGGAAATACAATTCTTAAGGGGAAAAAAAATGATATTGGTATTTTCCATTTTAATTTGGGATAACAGGCTTTTTACCTTTTGGATTTTATAATCACGTCTCTTTTACTTAAAAATCTTGGTTTGTAATAAGTGACGTTAACATAGTCACTTATTTGCTTTATTCTATAATAATTTCAACATGCCTATAATAATTTCAAAGTAACCACACAAATATAATTAAAGATTTTAGGTCCTTCTTGTTCTTAGATTATTTCCCACTAGGAATATGCAGTCATCTGTTACTGTTTCCAAATTTTAGGAATTGCTATTCTTTATCTATTTTTATTTCATTATGTTTATTTATACAAAATAATGTGCATGGTTTCATAGTCAAAATTATATGACAAGGTGCATTCACAGAAGCCCTTCTTCCTTGTCGTCTCCACCCTGCTCCCTCCATACTATTCTCAATCTGTTCATAGAGGTTACAGTTTTCATTAGTTTTATCTTTTCATCGTTGTTTTTAGTGTAAGCGTTTCTTTCTTGCTAGACATACACACTGCCATCATATTTCTTACACAAAAGATAGCCTAGTGTTCTTTCTTTCTTTCTTCTTTCTTTTTTTTTCTTTTTTTTTTTTTTTTTTTTTTTTTTTTTTTTTTTTTTTTTGCGGTACGTTTTTTTTTTTTTTCTTTTTTTTTTTTTCTTTTTTTTTTTTTGCGGTACGCGGGCCTCTCACTGTTGTGGCCTCTCCCTTTTGCGGAGCACGGGCTCCGGACGCGCAGGCTCAGCGG